TGACGAAAATTCTTGGATAAGCAGACAAAGCGAGTAGCAGCTGCCCCGGGCGTATCATTTACAAACGCATTTACAAGCGCACTTGCAGCTAACGCGTTCAAATTGCTGCCCAGGTAAGTCACCAGCAGGGTGCCAAATTAAGCGGGTCGTAGTACTTTAGTTATCTGGAGCACTTGCCTACTTCAACGATATATGTTTTCCCTTAAGATTTACGATTGTCCGTAGACCCTACTGCCAAAAATGCTCCGGGCTACGGTTCACGAATATGAGAGGATAACACGCACATATTCATGGTGAGAAAAGGTCACAAAGGTCAGTTGTATATATCCTCATAAAGAACTATTCCCAGTAGTATGACTACAGAAATGCTGGATGATGGACTAATCCGATACGTTTGAAAGGAATGATGAATGGCTCTCTTTAACTGCATGTTACACTTACTATAAACGCGTGAGTCCTCCATATCACTTGACGGTCAAAGCGGCCATTCTAACACCAAGGACTGTGGTGTGTCTGGTGCTGCCTCTATTATTTTAATTGCTAGCACTACAAGCCACAGTAAGGCTTTGGATGCCGGTCCCACAACCCATAGCATAAAATTATGGGTCTTCATTCCCGTCTACTATATCGGAAACTCGTAAAGCCAAGGGGGCAGCCCTTTTGTTTGCACGGTTTTTAAATTCACTCAAAATTGAATCCAGAAAATCATTTAGAAAAGTCATCTTTAGTAAGGACACACGTAGGTCCCCGCTAAATTATGAGGATAGCTAGGGAGGAGGTGGTTAGCAACCTGTGACATAAAACCTCCTAAAGCACTTCAGTATGACGAATCTTCCGAACAAAAAGGTCAGCGCTGTTCTCGGAGATATAATCAACGTGCTAAAATCTATTAAACTGTTATCTGAGGGCTTTCCGTTTCCAAAACATCGGATAAAGTACTATATAAGTGGCCGTTCGACGAAAGGGTGGGTACTTAGTAACATATTATGTGACAAAAATGACCCTGAGGAAAAATGAGTTTTCTCGCAGTGTCATTTTTGTCATATGAGAGGTTACTGAGTACCCGTCCGTCGCCGAACGGTCTTTGCTCGGACGATCACTTATAGAATACTTCATTTGACGTGATGCGATTTAACTTGTTTACTATTTAAATAAATTTTCAGAAAAATTAATAGCGCTTTCTTTTCTTTACTGGTTTATAGTCGGCAGCTAAAAGGAGAATTGGGGTTGAGGATTTGGGTTAAATATACTTTAGAAAAACTTTCTACGCGTCCGTACACACTTTGATCTGGTGGTAATCAACTCAATGCGAAACAGGTGATAGCCTGACGCCGAAATTGTGCTAAACACAAGCGTTCCAAAAACAATAACGTTAGGCTACTAACATGGCTGTCCTAACATCATGTTATATGTATAATAAGGTACTCCTATAGGAGTTTTATAAGCAAAACTATTTATACAACTACCTTCTGAAGATAATAGCTTATAAACCAATAGCAGTAGTCACTGTGAGTTATTGATGACGTCACGCGACCACTACAAAGGGATGGGTGCAAAAACGCAAAATAGAATCATAAAGGAAATCGACTACGTAGGATTGCCTAATGGCGAAATTTTTGATCTCTGTCTTAAAAACTAAGTAAAGATGGATAACGTGGGCTCGAAGGCCCGCTGCAATCATACGATTGCATCGTACGTACACTTTCAAACCAAATACTTTTGTCCCAAGGTCAACTTACAGTAATGGTTTATCAAATCCATCTTCTTCATTGTCAACTTCTAGCATCCATCCGAATCCGCGGCGTCGTAGTATTCCACTTACTGCGCCCTCGGGGCCACGAGTCAATGCGTCAATGTTGCCGGTAAGAGAGGCCGTATCTGAATGTCAAAAAATAAACCAAAAACACTAGTACACGCATCGGGGTTTCCGCTAGCCTCCGGAGGGACAAAGGATAAGTCAATTTTGGTGTGAGGATCGCTAGTCGTTGACGTTGTCGGCAACATAGTTGCTGTATGCAAAAGCGTAGGCGGCTACTCAAAGACCAAAACGCAAAAAATGCAACCACGAAACTAAGAAACGGAACTCGGATTATAGGTTAAAGGTCAGAAAAAATTGTGAATATGTAGTGGCCCTAAGGCTCCCGTGGCCGAGGACAAACTCAACTTCCGTCCGCACCCTTCCAGCATATTCACGAGATCATGAGCAGACAGTGACAACTGTCACGGTGCCGCAAAGTGACGA